GTGTGTGTGTTCACTGCTGTGTGTGTGCACTTTGGATGGGATAAATGCAGAGCACTAATTCCGAGTATGGGTCACTACATGTCACTTCACTCACTCAAACACGATTTCAGCACGTCTCCACACAGTAAACAAAACAAGCGTTTCCTAGCAATGACAACTGCGCTAAAAACTGAGACAAGAAATAAATACACTTATGAGCTGCTTTTAAAAGAATTTCACATTCAATCTTCAAATTAATGTACAAACAACATAAAGACAGTGTATTTTTTATATTTGTTTAATGACATCTTTTTTTATGACTGAAGGCCAGTACCAATACTTCTGATATCTCTATAAAATTGTTTTTCCCCAACTAATATTTAACCATTGACTATAGCCATTCAATGTTACAGTATAAACTGAGAGCTATAAACCTTAACATGTATTAGACTTAAAAAAAAACTTCTAATTTAAGTGAACTTAAAACAGTCTTCACATAAACCCATTATAATAAATGTCATATTTACCTGTGCCCTTCAACAGAAATATACAGAAATTGAAATTGAAGCTATCAGACACTAAATTCTAAATTAAATATAGATGAATTCTTAAAGCTATAAAAGTTATTGATTTTCTCTTTTTTTTCTTAGTCCTTTGATTAATAGACATCATAGCAACTGGTTATGAGGTTATTTGGCTGTTATTTCTTTAAGAGCTGCCACTGCTGAACATGACACAGATCTGACACGCATCACCTTTTTGGTAACTTCATGACTTAACTGACCACGACATTGCATGCACGTAGTTTATTTCGCGCTTTGATATGAAATGATACAGGCTACAGCAGGCGCTGGCACTTTTGTGCGTGCAATTGAAGAGCACATGCTGCGAGCACAGTACCGTTTCCGCGCTCGTTTGAATAGCGCCTGGTGCTGAAGTGAAGTGGAGCGCGTGTCTGAAACGTCTCCCGTTCTCAGTCGTTCTGCGACTGAATAAATGCACTTCTTGTCAAGAAAAAAAGTGACAGACGCAGCAGTTGTGAGTGGGGTGGCCAAACCTAGCTCCGCCCCTGCGTTAATTGCGTTAAATATTTTTGTGTCAAACTGAAAATATTAATCGCCTGCGTTAACGCACTAATATTGACACCACTAATACTGTATATATATATATATATACATACAGTGGCGGAGCCAGGATGTTTTCATAGGGGTGGAGTCATGAATTCTGTCCATAGACTTCCATCCGACTGCCACAAGAGGTCGCCTCTTCATCATATTGACTCTCACACCACACAGACTGTTACATGTCACTCCGGACTACATTTCCCATCATCCATTGCACTGATTGCACACAGCTGTAACCAATCACACGCTCACCTGAAAGCTATTACACACATTATATAACACCCACTCAGATCCTGCTCAAGTTGCTGAGTATTGTTCTGTGTTTATCACTCGCCTAGTGATAGCTGCTTTATGGAGCCTAGTTCTAGTTTAGTCTAGTCGTTTCGTGTTGCCTTGTTTCCTGTTTCCTTATTCCTGCCTGTGTATCTTGGATTAACCCTTGTCTCGCCACTCGGACTCTGTTTGTACCTCGTCTGGACTATTGCTCATGTTTCTGGATTACCCCTCTTGTCAAGCACTCTGGGTTCTGTTCGCCGATCGATGACCCACGCCAGCCCTAAGAATACTCTTTGTCCTGTCTTATACATATCTGTTTGCTGATGCTCGACCCTGCCTGTGTATGACCATGTCTATGAATAAAGCTTTGCGTATGGATCCGCACGTCTCATCAGCCCCGTAACAGGTGGCCAGGGAGGGGCCAGCAACCAGTCTGGGGTGGCACAGAAATATTCATTATTTCAATATAAAAATGTGTTTCATTGTAAAGTACTGGACTGTTTTAGTACCTATAACACAACTGAATACAATTAATTTCTACTTAATTGTAGTTGAGATATTTGGGAATTAGGTCAAGTAATACTGAGTGAATATGACCATTTTTGTATTATTCCTCACTTCCAGGTATTTCAATAAAAGGGCTCACTATAGCTTTATTGCTCAGTCAGCTTGGTTCTGGTTCTTAAAACCCCCTAAAGCTTGTTCTCCATCATTTCATACTCATGGATGAGACATGCAGATAGTGATATATAAGAAAGTGAAAAAGTCAACAACACATACATGCCAGAATGTAAAATGAGCTATTTTATGCATTTAAATGGTTTCATTTTCGTTTGTACTTTACAAATTAACGTGAAAAAAATAGTATATATTTTTTTTTGTATAAGTGCACTCTGCTCACTTTTACTTGTGCATTAAATTACAACAAAAAAATACATAACCTATCAGCTTGCGCCTTATATTGTGATCTCCAGTTGCAGAATAGGCTATATTTTATTTGCATTTGAGAGACGTTCTTTAATGTGATGCATATATAGCCTACATGCATGCACCGTTTGCAACTTTAATCCTCTTTTTGGTAATTTCATGACTTAACTGACGACAGAACTACATTGTATGCTCATAGTTGTTTGTGTGTGCTTTATTTATGATGAGGCGATATTGATCGTGCGCCTCATACTGAAGACTGTGAGGAGTGTGCGTCCTGAGCACAGTACGTCTGACAGAACAGGAACGTTTGTTTTACTGACGTAGCCTAACAACATCTCATCAGACGCAGTTCACTGTTGTTCTACTGAAGCTCATTTGGCTCCTGTACCTTCTCCGCGCTCGTTTGACTTGCGCCTGGCGCTGAGGCGACTGAAGTGCGCGTCTGAAAGTCTCCCTCCCGCTTGATGAGGTCGTAACGAGATACGGCGGTTGCGCGTCTTAATAAATACACTTCTTGTCAAGAAAAAAAAAGCGACAAAAACTGCAGTTGTGAGTGGGGTGGCCAAGCTTAGGTCAGTCGTGGCCACGGCCACCCCTGGCCACCCCCTGGACAAAAAAAATAATAAAAAAAAGACAAAAGGCTTTAAATTTGTAAAAAAAAGTTTTACTCGCAGTATTACTCGCTTCAAAACAAGTAATTCGTTCAGGAAATATCCTTATCAGCCATCATGCATGTCGTAAATAAATAAAAGTTTATAATTCACTAATTTGTACTGTCAACAATAATCAGCTTTCATATGTGCATCTCACAAAAGGACTTAATTTCGCTCTGCAGTAATGAACTTGGCAGAAACATGTGTAATGAGAGTGAGAAGAGAAAGTCACCGGTCATGGTGAATCCACCCACGAACAGACCGATGTCTCGGCCGCCGACCATGATGGACTCGCTGAGGTCAGTTCCCTGCGAGATCCCGGAGCTCTTGTTCTTCCACGCCGCCCAGATTCCCACCATTAAGATCAACACGTAGAAGATGACAATGGCCAGCAGTCCGTCCACATGAATGGCCATCTTACACTGACCTACACAAATCACAGCAACACTACAACAAACTCGTTTTGTAATTTAGTAATGACGCTTTCACATATTAGCATATAATTTGTTTTCCTTTTATCTGTCACAACACTTATTGTTGAATACATAGAATCTTTCCATTTTAAATGCAACTTTCAATTTTGTTTTAATTTCAAATTAAAAAAATGCTACGACTAAGCAACAAGTAGCGGTAGATTGCATTATAATTGGACTCATAGTACATGGTAAAAATAAAATCAATAAAACAAATATATTGTTAGGTACCCCTGCAGACAGTCAGTGAATCCTGAGCGAGAGAATGAAGGCAGAGAGCGGCTGGATGCAGGAGGAGCGCTCATCACCGGAGACTGGAAGAGGACCAACTTACTCCACAACTGTGTTATACTGCTCTCTCTCTCTCTCTCTCTCTCTCTCTCTCTCTCTCTCTCTCTCTCTCTCTCTCTCTCTCTCTCTCTCTCTCTCTCTCTCTCTCTCTCTCTCTCTCTCTCTCTCTCTCTCTCTCTCTCTCTCTCTCTCTCTCTCTCTCTCTCTCTCTCTCTCTCTCTCTCTCTCTCTCTCTCTCTCACACACACACACACACACACACACACACACACACACAATCTCTCTCTTTCTCTTTCTCTCACACACACACACACACACACACTCTCTCTCTCTCTCTCTCTCTCTCACACACACACACACACACACACACACAC